CCAGCACCCAAAGGATCCCCATTAAGATCCCTATGAGCACCCTGAGTTGATTCCGGGCACCCAAAGGACCCTCATTAAGGTCCCTATGGGCACCCTGGGGCACATCTCGGCACCCAAAGGAGCCCCATTAAGGTCCCTAGGGGCACCCTGGTGACACAGGCGTCCTGGCACCCAAAGGACCCCCATTAAGGTCCCTATGGGCACCCTGGGGCGCATCCCGGCACCCGAAGGACCCTCATTAAGGTCCCTATGGGCACCCTGGTGACACAGGCGTCCTGGCACCCAAAGGAGCCCCATTAAGGTCCCTACGGGCACCCTGGGGTGCATCCCAGCACCCAAAACCCCCCGGGCACCCCGGGGCGCTCACGGTGAAGATCTCCACGATGTCGTTGGACGTGGTGCGCACGGGGTCCACGTCCTTCTCGCTCAGCACCCGCATGAGGCTCACGCCGTCCGTCTCCAGGATCCACTCCTGGAGCGCCTTGAACTCGCCGTCCTCCGTGATGATGATCTTCTTCTTGTTGTCCGTCTGCGGCAGGTGCATGTACACCTGGAAAACACGGGGACGGCACCCATGGGTGCTGCTCCGGAGCGCCCGGGGGTGCCCGCGGCACCTGCAGCAACCGGGACACCAGAAGATCTTCATGGAGATCTCCAGGTGGATCCATGGATCGTGAAGATCCATGGAGATCTCCAGGTGGCCTTCAGGTAGGTATCAAGAGCCTCGAGAGCATCCATAGGTGCTCCCTGGTACCCAAAAGGGCACCCATGGGTGCTCCTTGGGCACCCAGGTGTCTATCAGCACTGTCAGGGGTACCTTGGACCTTCAAGACATCCCCATGGGGACCTTCATGGCCATGCTGTACATGTGTTAGGAGCCTGTGCTCCCTGGCATCCCCAAGAGCACCCATGGGTGCTCCCTGGTACTCACAAGGGCACCCATGGGTGCTCCTTGGACACCCAGGTGTCTATCAGCACTGTCAGGGGTACCTTGGACCTTCAAGACATCCCCATGGGGACCTTCATGGCCATGCTGTACATGTGTTAGGAGCCTGTGCTCCCTGGCATCCCCAAGAGCACCCATGGGTGCTCCCTGGTACTCACAAGGGCACCCATGGGTGCTCCTTGGACACCCAGGTGTCTATCAGCACTGTCAGGGGTACCTTGGACCTTCAAGACATCCCCATGGGGACCTTCATGGCCATGCTGTACATGTGTTAGGAGCCTGTGCTCCCTGGCATCCCCAAGAGCACCCATGGGTGCTCCCTGGTACTCACAAGGGCACCCATGGGTGCTCCTTGGACACCCAGGTGTCTATCAGCACTGTCAGGGGTACCTTGGACCTTCAAGACATCCCCATGGGGACCTTCATGGCCATGCTGTACATGTGTTAGGAGCCTGTGCTCCCTGGCATCCCCAAGAGCACCCATGGGTGCTCCCTGGTACTCACAAGGGCACCCATGGGTGCTCCTTGGACACCCAGGTGTCTATCAGCACTGTCAGGGGTACCTTGGACCTTCAAGACATCCCCATGGGGACCTTCATGGCCATGCTGTACATGTGTTAGGAGCCTGTGCTCCCTGGCATCCCCAAGAGCACCCATGGGTGCTCCCTGGTACTCACAAGGGCACCCATGGGTGCTCCTTGGACACCCAGGTGTCTATCAGCACTGTCAGGGGTACCTTGGACCTTCAAGACATCCCCATGGGGACCTTCATGGCCATGCTGTACATGTGTTAGGAGCCTGTGCTCCCTGGCATCCCCAAGAGCACCCATGGGTGCTCCCTGGTACTCACAAGGGCACCCATGGGTGCTCCTTGGACACCCAGGTGTCTATCAGCACTGTCAGGGGTACCTTGGACCTTCAAGACATCCCCATGGGGACCTTCATGGCCATGCTGTACATGTGTTAGGAGCCTGTGCTCCCTGGCATCCCCAAGAGCACCCATGGGTGCTCCCTGGTACTCACAAGGGCACCCATAGAGCCTGGACCCGCACAGGAGCACCCATGGGTGCTCAGCACGGGTGTCGCGGAGGTGCCGGCGCGCCGCGGCACCCAAGGGTGCTGCCCACCTTGCTGATCTGCTCGATGCCCTGCAGCGTCATGTCCGTGAGCATGTTGGACTCGATGCAGCGCAGGAAGACGTCGTCGTCCATCTTGTCCACCACCTCCTCCTCCTGGGGACGCCGCGGGTGACACGCTGGCCCTGTCCCCAGCCCGGGGACCCCGAGGGAGGCAACCGTCCCCCACCCAGCCCCTGAGGTGACACCAGCCTCCTGCCACCAGCCCTAGGGTGACGCTGGCCCTTGTCCCCTCTTTTGGGGCTCTTGTCCCATCCCCACTGTCCCTTTGGGGACATCAAGGGTGACACCAACCATGTCACCTATGGAGACCCCCAGGGTGACATCAGGGGACCCCAAAGGTGACACCAGCCCTGTCACAGAGAGCAACAGGTCCCATCCCTCAACTCCTGAGGAACCCTGGGGGTCACAGGGTGGTCTCGAAGCCCAGCGGGTGACAGCGGGTGACAGGGACCCAACGGGTGACACGGGGACGCCCACCTCCTGCATCTTGTTCTCGTCGCTGTTCATGATGCGGATCCGCAGCACCAGCTTCTCCGCGTTGTCGTCGTTGAAGATGCAGTTCAGGTCGTCCCCGAAGCCTGGGAGGGGACACGGTGGCTCAGAGCGGGGTCCCCTTCATGTCCCCATGGGCACCCAAAGCCTGAGACCCCTCGAAGCCCCCTGAGATCCCCCAAAACCCCCTGAGATCCCTCAACCCACCCTGAGACTCAAGTCCCCCTTAGATCCCTCAAAATCCCCCAAAATGCCTCAGATGCCCCATAGATCCCTCAACAGCCTCTGAGATCCTTCAACCCACCCTGTAGATCCCTCAACACCTTCTGAGACCCCACAGACCCCTCAACCTCCCACTTAGATCCCTCAGCCTGCCCCATAAATCCCTCAACACCCTCTGAGATCTCTCAAAACCCTGAGATCCCTCAACCTCTTAGATCTCTCAACGCCCTATGAGATTCCTCAAATCCCGACATCCCTCAAACACCTTCAATCCTTCAACCTCCCACAGATCCCTCAAAGCCCCCCATAGATCCCTCAATCCTCCACAGATCCCTCAACTTCCCCCTTAGATCCCTCAACAGACCCCTCAAATCCTCCCCTTAGATCCCTCAACGCCCTCTGAGACCCCTCAACACTGCCAAGATCCCTCAAATCCCCCTTTAGATCTGTCAAATCCCCCCTTAGACCCCTCAACACCCTCTGAGACCCCTCAACCCCCCACTGATCCCCCCAAAACCCCCCCCAGATGCCTCAACTTCCCCCTTAGGCCCCTCAACCCTCCACAGATCCCTCAACTCCCCCCTTAGATCTCTCAAATCCTCCCCTTAGACCTCTCAAATCCCCCTTAGATCCCTCAACTCCCGCCTCAGACCCCTCAAATCCCCCTGTAGATCTCTCAAGTCCCCACCTTAGACCCCTCCAATCCCCCCTTAGGCCCCTCAAATCCCCCTTTAGACCCCTCAACCCTGCACAGACCCCTCCAATCCCCCCTTAGATCCCTCCAATCCCCCCTTAGATCCCTCCAATCCCCCCTTAGACCTCTCAAATTCCCCTTTAGATCCCTCAACCCTGCACAGATCCCTCCAATCCCCCCTTAGATCTCTCAACTCACC